CGTTGAAGCTGCTGAACCACGTCTTGGACATCTTCTTGTGCGTGTTTTCTATATGCGATGATCACGTCGTCCACGTAGAAGAATATCATGATTCCTTTTCTTGTATAACAGCACGGCTCATGGAGAACTGGGTTGAATCCCAAGCTGGCCAGAGTCTTTGAGAACTCCTTTTGCCATAGCAATGGAGAAACCCTCAGCACATAGAGTGCCTTGTTTAACTAAAGAATTGTACCTTTCTTGCGATAGCCGTATGGCATTTGCATGAAGATCTTCTCATTGATAGGGGCGTGCACAAAGACATTGACAACATCGTACTGGATCATCTCGAGGTCAAACTTGGCCACCAGGGCTATCAAGATTATGAATAATCTTCCAGCAAGAGTAGCTGCATACATTTGCTCTGAATGCAGCCCCTTCTGTTGATCTCCTCTGACCACAAGACGTGCCTTGCACTTGATAAACCTCCCATGCTTATCAAACTTATAGACATACACCTACATACAGTCCAAGATTTGATGCCCTCGTATAGATGGGTCTTTTTTTCGGATCTCAGTCCATGACCTCATGCCGTTATGACTTTTTAAGTGATTCTTTTCGGCTATTTTGAACAGGTGTCCTATTGAATGGGTTGCTAGTTCGTCGCGCCGCTGTGGCACTTCTTCCAGGAGTCGCCTGTGCAGCTTGAATCCTTTTCGCAAGGCTCTCTCAATACTTGCCCGATCTAGGGTGTTTTGACCCAATCGTTCTATGGACAAAGCCTTAAGGCCTGTTAGAAACGCTGCTTTCCAAGGCTCGAGCTCTTTTCGTCCTGGGTTTTGGAGAGGATTTTTGGGTTCTTTATTCCCTTTCTGAATACTATGACATAGCAGGACGGACAGAGGACTAGGCAGTGGTGCAGGTAATAGGGCAAACTTTGCTGTGGTGTATGGGTGCTCATTCCCAATACCCACATCTATTTCCTCTTCGTCCTCTTAGACTTGTATCCCCGTCGGGACCACCGGGCCTCCCGCACTTCCATCCCCTACCCCCGTCGGGGGAGGATGTTGGTCTGCTTGCAGTTCATTAGGATTTTCTTCCTCGTCCTTGACATAGTCATCGGACTCGGATAGAGCGTACTTGTTGACCATGGCCTGTATCTCTTTAATAGTCGCCGTCTTCAAGTCATCTCGGAACCGCTCTTCATTCCCATCAAATACCTCGTTCTCATTGAAAGCGACATCTCTCGTACTTATCACCTTGTTCAGGTGAGGCACCCACACACGGTAGATATTGGAGGACCGATATCCAACCAAATATCCAATCCATGCTTTGGGACTGAGTCTGTCTAGCCTTCAGCGACCCAACTTTATGTCGGTTGTCATTGTGTAGGCCTTGCAGTCATACACCCGGAGATGTGTCTGGTTAAGGCACTTGTCAGGGACCATTGGTCGACCTGTCTTCCTTGTAACTGCTTCAAAAAAGACATCGAAGGGGCTTTTTTATCCACTCTTTCTTCTTGGTGTCCGATTGTAGAGATATGTAGCCGCTTTGAGTATTTCTGGCCACAGGAAGGTCAGTAATCTAACACCAATTCGCATCGCGTGCGCTTTTGTTTTCAGTACACCCCCTTAGCGCTCGGCACCTCTATTCTGGGCTTGTGTATTGGGAGCCGAGGGCTCTACCTTAATCGCGCGGGCTTCTAGCCATCTTCCTATGTCTGACTTGTTAATGTATATCTCATTGTCTGTTTCAATTACCTTGACTTTGATGTCGTATTGGCGTTTCAGCCATAAGAGGTGCGTTGACACCATACGGATGATTGTTTCCGTAGTTCGATTCTTAAGAGCGTAGTCCCATGAGACACCAGAGTTTCTGCATGTGAAGACCATATGAGATGACTCGTTTGATAGCGACCTCTCGTAGTCGTGGAAGTCGAGAGCTAATCTTTCTCCTGGATCTTTGTAGTTAGATTGTGGTGCTCTCTGTATATATTGTCTGGCTTTAGACATTCCGCATGACTCGCATTCCACTCCCGTTGGTCCTCGGATGACCACCCCCTGAGATGCGCGCACTAAGTGTTCCAAAACTTCTGGGCCAGGATGTCTTAGTCGTTGATGCCATAGCCATGCGTTCCCAGTGAGAGGAGGTCTTCTGGACCATGAGTTGTATAGATGCTTCTTGCTGCATTGTGCGGTGTGAAACATAGCGTTCGGGTCGTTCGGTTGGTAATCAATGACATATTGGCCGTACATGTCCTTGATATGGCCGATCAAGGTATTGTCTCTTCTTTTGAGACTGGTCTGCCTTTCTTTATTGTCCCATCAATATCCTTTCTATCTGAGTTCTCGTAGGGATATGAGAGTGGTGAGGAGTGAGGGGCAGTAGGCTGTATTTGGGAAGCTGATAATCGTGCTTCTGATGCATACTTGCATATTTCCGTACGCTTGGATGGGTAGAGTGCGGTCTCCTGACCATACAAAATCTCCTGGTGGCGCAGTCCTCCAGCTGGTTAGACGCCATGCTTGGTTTGTGATCGTGATAGTGTTTCCACTGTCTAAAATGACTGAATAGGACAGTGGATAGTCGTCTGATTTGACCGCTGTGAAGGCTGATGGCACCTTGCCCATTGTTCTGCCATAGAGTCAATCTTGAATCTCTTTAGGCTTTTCTCCTTTAGGTTAAGGAGTCTTTGTGCTTGATTTTGTCTTGTTTTGCTTCAAGACGCGGACTTGAGCTTGTAGTTCTGGATCTTCCAAGGCTTGGGTCGTCTTCTTGACAAGATAGTCCCTAGGCCGGAAGCCCTTCCATGCCTTTTCTGGGAAGACATAGAAACAATTCGCCAATGCATGATCCATTCCACACGCTGGACATTCGGAATGGTCCTCATCCCTACTTCTCTTGTTCCTCAGTCGGCGTTTGGTCTGTTGTCTCCTAGGCCTTTTGCTTCCAGCTTTTTGTTCTTCTTTGCCGGAGCCCTCGCCGTTATAAATAGACCCAAATACACCTTTGGAAGCTCGTCCAGCTTTATTGGTGGTCCGCAAAATAGCTCTTGTGAAGTTGTTGACAAGATCTCGATGTTTGAGAATCCCGTGCCGGATTTGTTCGTCTTTGGTAACCGCGTAAGTGTTTGACCACATAGGAAATGCTTCGGATACCGCGTCCAAGAAGTCTCTGGCCCACGAGCTCACGCTGAGCGTTTTGGGAACTTCTTTCTGATGGGCCTTTGTAAAGACGATCTCCCAAGAAGCAATCCATCTTGGCGCGTTCTTGGGATTTTTGAGGGGTTGGAGTGCTGTCTTGTAGAGTTGTCTTGCATCCTCCTACTCATCTGCACTTGCCATTCTGCACTGGGCTTGGAGATTTGTGTACCACTCCCAGATTGGTTGCTTTGGAATACAGTAGGTGGTCTTGTAGTGGTTTGCGACAGACTTGAGTATATGGTTCTTGATCTTTTCTAAAGACAGTGCTTGCTTCTCGTGCAGCTTCTGGATTCGATCGTAAAAGCTATTATCGAGTTTATAGGTTTATTTTCCCGATGTTATTAGATCTGATAACATCCACACGCCATTATTTTGCTTGTGTTGAATGATTTCGTTGTCTTCGTTTCCGTCATTTGGATCGGGATTGACTTCGATGGTTTGGCTTGATTTGAGAGTCGTTCGTTTCTTCTCGTATTTCTTTCGTGCAATATTCGGAATTTCTGGTTGTGGTATAATTCCCTTCTTCTGAATAAGGAGGTCAAGAAGACCTAAGGCGTCTGCCTTCAGTTGGAACTCATGGTCCCATTCGGGCCATTCTCTTGTTTCCGACAGTGATGCTGAGAAGTCTGCTTTCTCAGACTCTTGAAGGGTTAAAAGGACAGGTATCTTAGATATACAGGATAAATAGGTTTAGTCAAAAGGATCGGCGATAAGACTCTTAATTGTCAGATTTGAGCTAATCGTGAGGTTGAAGTGTGTCTGTGTATTCTGTCTCTCTAGAGTGTCCTCGTGCGACCGTGGCAGTTTTGTGCCAGAGGGGGCTGGATCGGGACGGAACAACTAGGTTCCGGTGTCTACCTATCAAGGTGCCCTCTGGGCTCACCTTTAATCCAACATCACCAGATGAGGCTGACCTGAGTCAGCGGATGGGGTGCGAATTGGCTCAGTTCTTCGGAACAGGGTAGGTGCATTAAGGATGTAGGCCAATTGCTGAACCTTTTTGACCCTGCACCAGGTGCAGGGTTCATCTTTTGCTAAAAGCACTATTGACTTTTTTGGCATTTTGTTTTCAGCTGTGCACAGGTCGTGCTACGGGAAAGTGTTGAAACATCAGCAGGCGACAACGCGAGATAGAGATATGTTTCCACTGAACTATTGTCACTGTGTCCTACTGCACTTGCCGCCGCGTCCTTCTGTGCAACGCATCTGCTTGACGATATTGTCATGCACCCTTGCTCACTAGGCTCCCAGAACTTTCACCACCTTTGGCATTCGAGATCGATGGTCAGGATGGACTGGACTTGCAAACTGTGGACTATGTGACCATTAGATCCAGTACACATCGCCTGCTAGCCCAAGGGTCGACAATGTGCAGCAACATCAACATCGCCTTGGCTGCTCAAGACCAGAGATACATACCCCCCATATTCATTGAAACCATCGCCAAAGAGTGAGGAATGATTGACAATCGCAACACCTCAGCCCCAGCTCGTGCCTGCGGTGGGTTGCCCCCCAGCGACCCCCCCTTCCGTCACCACACACCGCACCAACGATAAACACCACCGCCCGCAAGTCATTCCACTCAGTGAGAATTCAGGGTACCTGCCTACATCGAACATGAACTCCACCGCCCGCAAGTCGTTCAGCTCACTGAAAATACACTACCTACTTCGACCATCTCCTCCCCCCCCCGCTCGCGACCTACTTTCGATCTCGCAATGCAGACCGCCGCAGCGCATCCACTCAGTCCTTCATCAATCCTCAGCTCGTCCTTCTGCCTCTTCGGCAAGGTAAGGTATATAGTTCCTTGGATTGCCGTCGCTAGCTCCGCTTCTCCTTCACCGACCGCCACTCCATCATCAAGGACCCAACAGCCGTCGCGCACGCCAGCCCCAGCGGCAGATACCACGTCTGCACGAGCGACCTGTCGAAGCCTCGCAGCACGTCCTGCAGCTTCTGCGGACCGATACTAGCCTTGAGCTGCCCGAGCCCCATCTGCTCGATAGCCTTTGCGTCCAGCTGCGGCGCAACCGCATGCAGATTGACGACGAGGCGGTTCGTGAAGATCGTCTGGGCGACCGAGACGAAGAGCGCCGGCCCGAAGTGCTGCGCGAAGAGAATCACGCTCAGCCCCAGCGGACCGTCTGGCTCCGACAGCGTCGTCTGTGCCGCGCTCTGGGGCCCCTGGAACCCAATGCCCGTCGCGAAACCTACGAGGCTGGAGTAGGTGATGAGCTTGGCTAGGCCGGAGTCCAGCGTCCAGGTGGTCACCAGACCCGCAGCCAGTGGCATGAGCACGGATCCCGCGAGCATGAAGGGCGTATAGAAGCCTGTCAGCGTCGTGCCCGCGCCGTGCACGAGCATGCCGACGAGGAAGCCGACGAGAATCAGCACCATCAGGTACCCGCTCGTTGCTGGCGAGTACTCCCGCACTTCCTGCAGATATGTTGGCATGTAGTAGTTGATTATGTTCAGACTGCCATTACAACAGAAGGAGAAGATGAAGCCGGCAATGATGCTGCGTCGCCGGAATATCCGGGGCGGAAGCAGTGCCGCGTCTTGCTTGCGATACTGGTCCCACACGAAGCCGGCTATAAGGATAGCGAATGCTGCATACAAACACAGCACGAGAGGACTGTCAAATGCGTACTTTGTGCCTGCCCATGACAGGGCAAGGAACAGACTCGTAATGGCTGGCACGAAGAGTGCAGAGCCCAAGAGGTCTAGTTGAGCAAATATGGCTTTCTAAGACATCTTTTTTGACTCGTTTTCTCTTGGATCTTCCAGGAGGAAGATGACCGTAAGGACGACCGGCGCGCCTATAGGAAGGGAGATCCAGAAGCACCTGCACGCGTTAGTCGGACCCCCGATCAATACTGTCAATGATTAGGTAGCTCACCATCTCCACGAGAGACTCTGCGTTAATACACCTCCAAGTACCGGGGCAACGACCACAGCAACTGTCTCGATGCCGCCAAACAGACCAGCGTACAACGGCCGCAAGCGTAGCGGCAATATCTGCACCAGCAACGTGTAGCAGCCAGCAAGTATACCCGCGCACCCCAGGCCTGCTACAGCTCGTCCGAGAACAAACATCTTCGACGTTGCAGCCGTGGCGCACAGTAGGCTTCCCAGCAGGAAGATGCCTACTGAAGCTAGCATCACACGCTTGACAGAGAAGATCTTGTACAGCTTGCCGAAGAAGAATTGGAAGGCACACAGTGGGAGGCGGTATGCTGAGGAGTACCAGCCAATATCGGCGACTAGCTGGCATTAGTATATTGAAGAGGGGGGACAGGTCGGGAAGCTCACCCGTGTGAAAGTGATCGGTGATTGCTGGAACAGCCGTAGATACTATCGATTCGTCCAAGCCTTCCAGTACTAGAATGAGGCAGAGTGACAGTACGATGATGTAAAACTTTGCTCCCGTTGGGTACTCGGGCTCTGCATTGGCGGACATCGACTCGTCTATAATGTTATCAAAAGCTTGTAACGTGGTCGATGGAGGTGCGGAGACATCTTCCGACCTGCGTGCGACCTCGATCGTCAAAGCTGGCGCAGGCAGCGTCTCCGTTGCAGTCACCGTGGTTGTAGCCATGGCAGGACGATTGATCGTGAGTACTCGGTGCAGAGGGACCGTTGAAGTGTATGAGCGTCGTTTAAATAGGCAGCGGCATTGCGGCGCAGGTACGGCGTCCGAGATCGCTTGCGGCTTACCAAGCAGGATTCGGGGCGGCCTGTCAACGGACGATCCCCCACGCTGACTGCATGTACGAGAAGGCGGCCGGCAGTATAATCCCGGTTGCTAGCAGCGAGAACTGTCTGTCTCCGGAACGGTGGACAAACCAAGAGGTGAACCAGCCAACAACACATGGACAGAGGGACAGATAGACAGGTTCTTTAGGGGCTGCTGGATATCGTGAAAGGCGAAGTATGTCTTGACAAGGGCAGTTGAAGGTCCCCCAGGGTTTTCAAGGTTCCAACTTCCGCCTGTCTCATCAGTCAAACCCATTGGATTCAACTGCAGCGGCGCCCTGGCCCATTCGACAATTCTGTCGAGGCCACGGAACAGTGACATCATAGGCTAGACCGCGGACCCAACTTGTCACATGAGCGATTCCAGTCGCCGGTGTTACTCGATCGTGGTTTCTCACTTGAGAATCACCGGTCGCGATAAACATATGAAGAGGCTGTCTCGCAGAATTGACCACGTAATTCTCATTCGGTAGGAACCATTAATCCAAGTCTATGGCCATACATTGCCGTGACCGCCTATCGTCCGTCTCCAGAGTGATCGGCACGATGGCTTGACTGTCTCTACGGAGTCCCCGCTACCCTCTCCGCCTCCTCCCCGGGTTTTCTCGGGTCACGCTCGGGCTCTATGGGGCATCGGTATCTTCCTTCTGGCTTAGCTCGGGACTGCGACCCCACAAGGTGTTATAGGGGATATCGAACGCCGAAAGGGCCTCGTTGATGAGTTGGACCTCCAGGCTAGAGTTGCTGGTTAGATCCTGAACAGGAATCTCGTTAGGAGGGATACTACCCTCCATAAAACAGCTGTTCGGGTATGATGGAGGCATCTAGGTTCTGGACCAAATGAAGCAGCCAAAACGACTGAATTGGTGTCGAGCCACAGAACTCTAGCAACGTGAACGAGGCAGGTGCACTGGCAACTAGCGAATATGTGGCTTGACTATCTGATGCCGCTTCAACTTCCAAGCCGCCCACCACCTACTAATGACCTGCAACCTTACCGCAACAGGCGACTCGAAGCGCTGCATCTCCACAAGGGCCGGCTCCATCGTCTTCACCGACTCTTCAGCGGGCGCACTTGCAGGCCCTGTTAAATTGATAGGTAGATAAGATGTAGCAGGTACATAATCCTTAATTAGAAAGAAGTACTAACTACTAATAATACTAAGCAACAGCTACCATAAATACCTTTAGTCACGTGCTATCCTTATATTAAAAACTTCGGTTATTATAATATCGTAACACCTTACTTTAAACGTGGTTTTAATACGTTAAAAGAAATATTAACGTATAAAAACGCATTTTTAACTATCTTAATACAAACTAACCTCGGTGTCTTATTTTATACTTCGTTTAAAAAGTGAAGGTCTTTAATAGTAAAAGTAACAGTCCGCCGTTGTTTTTTTAAGTTTTTATCAAAACTTTGTTATAACTATTTAATATGTTTTGCTAACTTTAACTATTTTAGAAGCTTTTTTTTAAAAAAGAATTCCCATTAGGAAAATACTTTTGTTTTTATATTTGCTAGATTTTAAGTTTGTAAAACTAATTTTATTTTAATCGATCCTTTTTCTTATACTTTTAAGTTTTATAAAACTTGAATCAAATATACTTTGTTAGTTTATAATATATTAAATTGTCCGCGAGCTATTAAGCTTTATTATTATTGATAAAGATCTTAACGGGTTTATTATCATTTAAAACTACTTAAAATTCATTAAGTGGCTTTTGAAAATATACACTTTTTAATGTTAGTAAAAAAAAAAGCGAAATATTCCGCTTTAATTCTGACGGCCTGCACAGACCTTCCCACATGACAAGCCGATACCGGGAAGGATCTGACCAGAGGATCCCTTTAAAGGGACAACCACCCACTGTACCTATCTTTCTCTCTCTTCCTTTCCTCTCTAGTCTTGATATTCTTGTCAATAGAGTAATAGCTGCTTGCTGCCGGCCATGTCCCAGCTCCTCAGTATGCTCGTCGTGACAAAATATCAAGACTAGTCCATACCAGATTAGAAGCCTTGTGAGAGCAATATCCCAGATCCGATGAGTGCGTGATGAACGGTACAGCGTTGTTGTATTCAGGAAAAGGTCTATCTACTCTGTTCTGTGTGCGATCGCTATATATGGGGGCCACGGAGCCTGTGTCACCCGACATGGCAACTGGCAGCCTCATCATGCTTACATACACAGATGGATTCTGCTCACACCTTGTCTTCAAATCACCACTGCAAGGAGTTTTGCCTCTAGCAGTGACAGGTGCAGTGTCTCCAAACACCCACCTATCTAAGGCTTTGAAGCTCTGTCTTTAGGCCTATTAATACCATCTTTTTACCCTGCCTAGGCATTCGCCTAGGGCAGCTTGTTTACAATACTTAGGGGAGAGGAGCACAGAATGGGCAAAATTCGTGGAGAAGAGCAAGTTCTTTTCAACAATCTGCCCCCGATAGATAGCCTTCCTTGAAGGACCAGATGGATGACCCCAAGGTCATACCGCCGCAACAACGGGGATGGGCCCGTGAGCGGGACTGACTGTACTTATTATCTTGAGACCTCCACAACCCTGCGATGCAGAGGCTCTGGGAGGCGTGGTTTGCACTACTGAGGAGCTACCCCCACGTTAAATACAAAACAAACAAAACAAACAAACAAACAATACCATCTTTTTACCATTCTACCTACCATTACCACTGATTCCGTCCAACACACTGTGACAATGAGTACCACTATTATTATAGAAGATCAGGATAGTTCTAAAGGGACTGGAAGACCAGCCCAGAGAGAGATAGGTACAGTGGCAGGTTGCCCCTTTAAGGGGATCCTCTGGTCAGATCCTTCCCCTATTGGGAAATATCCACTTGTCATATGGGAAGGTCTGTACAGGCTGTCACACTACCCCCCCCCCCCCCCCCTCTTATTAAAGTCGGTTTACGACGATGATTTCTTTCGAGTTCTTCTTACTCCTTGTGCAGAGCCTCTTACAGGCAGGTTGTCTTCCTCATGATCAATTAGGTCCTGATCATCAGCAGCAGCCTCTATCCATTGCTGTAACCTTTAAGGGGGACCTGGCGCCTTAGGATTTGCGTCATGGAACTCTTTGACGCGTACAGCCGAGTTCCAAAGTTAGCTGCTGGGTACCATATCGGGTCAGGATCATGACCTGTCCATTCAGCCTGGTACTCCAGCTTGCCCCGGTTTAGGCGGGAGGACAGAATTTTGTTAACTTCTCACTCAGGAACCCCATCCACGTCAACGGGAGGCGGTGGAGGGATCACCTGACCTGGGACAGGGTCATTTGGTGACCGTATTAAGCGGCTTGCGTTGATGACCCGATGTGCGTTTATCCCAGAGGGTAAGTCAATCTCAAAGGCGTTCTCATTGATCTGTTTGACAACCCGATATGGTCCCATATAGGGGTTGTCCAACCCATCATGTGGGCGGTCAGTACGCCACGCTCCTTTGCGTACATATACCATATCTCCTGGCTTCCAGTCAATTGGTCGTCGGGACTTGTCAGCCTGCTTCTTGTACTTTGCTTATACCTTGAAGAGGTTGGTTTTGGCCTATGCCATGGCCTGTGCCCGGCGTTCAGCAAACTCTTGAGCATCCAAACGACTCAGCCGCTCTGTAATAGGCGTCTTTCTTGAGAGAGGACTGTATTTATCCCAGTCAAACATCATGACTGGAAGAAACCCCATTTCAACCTCAGCTAGAGATAAGCCAGTACTTGCATGAGGTTGTGTGGCATAAGCAAAATCCAGACAGGGCAACAATTGAGACCAGTCATCCTGAAAGTGGCTTATAAAGGGTCAGAGCTTGGTCTGGAGGAACTGGTTGATGATCTCTGTCTGACCATCCGTCTGAGGGTGCTCTACAGTAGAGCGGCATAGGTCCATCCCTATGAGCTTAGCTAGTTCATCTAAAAAGGCAGCAATGAACTGGGGACCATGGTCTGAAGTCACAGTCTCAGGGGTGCCATAGACCCTCCAAGGTCTATTGAAATATAAAGTGGCAAGGTCCTTGGCTGTACATGTCTTATATGTCGGAATAGACCACGGGCGTTTGCCTAGTCGGTCTACGACCACATAGATCGTGTCATAGCCTAGCTTGTCTTTTGGCATGGTCTTGAAGTCCATAGAGACATGTTGCCAAGGACGATCTGGTATAGGCAGGGGTTGTAGCAAGCCGGCTGGCTTGAGACGGGAGTTGCGACCTCTGCCACATTCTAGGCAATGAACACAATAGCGGTCTATAAAAGCACCCATACCTGGCCAGGAGTAACGCTCTGCTACTAAGGCATGCATCTTGTTCCAACCAGGGTATGCACGGGAAGGTAGTCTGTGAATCTCATCACAAAGTCGTGTATATAGGTGCCCCTCATCAGGCACCACAAGACGTCCCTTTTTCAGCAACAAGCCATCAACAAGACTGTAACCCTGCTGACTGTGTTTGGCTCTTTCACGCTCAAGAAGCAAGGTCTCTGAAGAGCGGTTGACTGTCAAGATGGCATCAATAAGCTAAATACCCTCTAGAGAACCGTCAGGGTCCTGGTTATTGGCTTCCAAGGTGGCCACAATGGCACATACCAGGTTGTCCTCTGGACTAGGTGACGGGTCGGTCACAGGCAGGTCAACGGGTCCATTGAACCTTTCAATAGATAAGAGGATCTGGCGGCGACTTTTATCCTTGATGGCCTTCTTTGTAGCCAGATCTATAGCTTTCCGTGATAGAGTATCAGCAATCAGGTTCTCCCTACCTGGACGGTAAGAGATAATAAAGTCCAGGCCCGAGATATCCTCATTCCAGGCTGCTTGTCAGGTATTAAGCTGTCGCTTAGTAACA